CAATGCTGGAGCTCAGAGGGAGTGAGTCCAAGTCTGTGCATGGCCCTTTAGGAAGAAATGCCTGGGACTCCTGCTATCCTCTGTCTTTCTCAGCCTGATTCCCACCGGTTTTTGTAGCCTAAAGTTATGGGGACTTCTCCTGGCACTGGAACCCTGGGCTGAGGGGTCTGGTGGGGCAGAGATGACTTCTTCTCAGGGGGGATCTCCACAGCCAAAATATTTCTCCCAATTACAAAACACCAATGGCTCTGTGCCTCTGCCCCTCCTACCAGTCTCAATGTGGCTTTTTCTTTAATTCTTTAGGACTTCCATTCACCTAGATTTCAGGTGGTTCTGAATGATGGTTGTTCTGAAGATGAGTTGTTTGTTTTTTTTTAATATATTTTTATTGATTTCAGAGAGGAAGGGAGAGGAAGAGGGAGATAAAAACATCAATGATAAGAGAGAAGCATTGATTGGCTGCCTCCTGCATGCTCCACCCTGGGGATTTAGCCCACAACCGGGCATGTGCCCTGACTGGGAATCAAATCATGACCTCCTGGTTCATAGGTCAATGCTTAACCACTGAGCCATGCCAGCTGGGCGATTACTTGTATTTTTTTTAAATATATATATATTTTTTTTATTGATTTAAGAGAGGAAAGGAGAGGAAGAGAGAGAAATATTAATGATGAGAGGGAATCATTGATTGGCTTTCTCCTGCACACCCCACCCTGAGGACTTAACCCACAACCCAGGCATGTGCCCTTGACCGGAATCAAACCTGGGACCCTTGAGTCTGCAGACCGACGCTCTATACATACACTGAGCCAAACTGGCTAGGGTGATTAGTTGTATTTTTGATGTGGTGTGGGAGGATTCTAGCACCACGTTTACCTACATTGCCATCTTACCTGGAGGCCCAAGATGTCTTTCTAAATTAGTTTTGCTCAGCTTTAGAAACTTGGTAATTCTGAATCTCTGACTCTATCCCTCAAGAAAACTCCCCACCAACCTCTTTCCCCGTCCATTAACGGTAACCAAAACGTTGGCACATTATTTTACAGGCTCTTTGGGTGGCCCATGGACCATGGAAAACATCCTGTGACTACCCTGGGATCAACCAACAGACAAGAATCATGGGACCACTGACCTCATCCTCATTCCCAAGCTCCACACCCACCCGAGGCCCCTGCACAAGCCATCCCCAAGAACCCTTTGGAGAGCTTGGCTTCTCTTTTCTGGTAACTCCATTTAGCACGAGTTCTTTTCAGTAAACTCTATCTGCTTGACTTGGACTGAGTTCAGTGCTCACTTTTAGGACGTTGATGCTCAAGGTCCTGGCATTAAGGTCTGGTAACATTACTACGTGGCAATCAGGGGCCCAGAAGGCAGGAGTGGAGTGTGTATGTTGGGAGAAACTGCTGAGTAAAGCAAACTGTGAGGCTATGGCAGAGACTCACTATAAAATCCATTCTAGCTTTTGGAATTCTGAAACGAAAATAGGGCTTTTTCCTCCAACACCTCAGTTGGATGATTTCATCTAACTTCTCTCTTGTGAAGGGGGACAAATCGGTGGCCAGCCCAGTTTTGCCTTAGGACACTTGGCCAACAAGGATGAAAAGGATAGATAAAGTTGTTGTGATAGGACTTCTAGTCCTTGAGGGCACTCCAGACCAACGAGATCGTAATCTGGGGTCCTGGCAGATCTCTTCCTAGTTTCTTCCACTGACTGTTCTGTGTAGGAACCTGAGCCACTTGCTGGAAGCCTACCTACCTTGATTAATATGAATTAATTACTGCTTCCCCCCCCCCCCATTATAAGGTATTTATTTCTATCACATTTGTTTGCATATATTTTTATGGTACTAAGCAGATTTATTTTTTCTCCTTCATCTTCTTCCCTGTTAAGACCACCCCAAAATTCTACAAGTAAAGTTAAGGGGTTACATACTTTTTTTTTTTTTTAGTATATTTTTTATTGATTTTAGAAAGGAAGGGAGAGGAATAGAGAGACAGAAACATCAATGATGAAAGAGAATCATTGATCAACTGCCTCCTGCACATCCCTTAGCCAGAATTGAACCTGGGACCCTTCAGTCCGCAGGCCGATGCTCTATCCACTTAGCCAAACTGGCTAGGGCAGGGGTTACATACTTTAAAAATCTGATTAAGGGGTGGGAAAAAGAAAAACCACTATACATTTCTCTACTGGACAACTCCACCACAGACCTCAAAGTGAGAACTGCTCATGTTCTAGTCTCTAGAAACTATAAATACTGGATTTTCTCCTTTTTTTTTTGCCTTTGAGATTCTAGACAGATCTACGGAGAAAAGAACTCAAAATATATTTGCCCCCCACCTCTCACTAAAATCCTCCCCCCCAAGTTACACACCCAAACTGGACAGTCACAACTTATTCACTAAAATGCTTCATTACCCCAAGCTAAAAATAAAAAGTCTTAAAAAACAACTTGCCTTAATTTTGTCTCAAATTAATTTGTTTCCCTCAAATTGGTTAAAAGATAAAAATCATAAAACTTGCCATCTACGATTCCTCTGGGCATTGGAAATGTGTCCTCAAAGCTTCAGACAAGAAGCATGAGAAAATAAGCCTGGCCCTGGCCAAGTAGCTCATTTGGAGCATCTTCTGGACGCGCCAGTGTTGGGGGTTCAATTGAGTCAGGGTACATGCAAGGATCCATGAATGAGTGCATGGATGGATGGAGCAACAAATCGATATTTCTCTCTGTGTGTGTCTCTCCCTCTCAAATAAAATAAAATAAAATAAAATAAATTTTAAAAAGAGAATAAGCCTGCTGAAACCAGTTTGGCTCAGTGGCTAGAGCGTCGGCCTGCGGATTGAAAGGTCCCAGGTTCGATTCTGGTCAAGGGCATGTACCTTGGCTGTGGGCACATCCCCAGTAGCGGGGTGTGCAAGAGGCAGCTGATCAATGTTTCTCTCTCATCGATGTTTCTAGCTTTCTATCCCCCTCTCTTCCTCTCTGTAAAAAATCAATAAAATATATTTAAGAAAAAAAAGAATTAAAGGGAAAAAAAGACAATAAGCCTGGCCCTGCCTGGTGTGGCTCAGTGGATAGAGTGGAGGCCTGCTGACTGAAGGGTCCCGGGTTCAAATTCAGTCAAGGACACATGCCCGGGTTGTGGGCTCAATCCCCAGTAGGGGGTGTGCAGAAGGCAGCCAGTCAATGGTTCTCTCTCATCATTGATCTTTCTTATCTCTCTCTCCCTCTCCCTTCCTCTCTGAAATCAATTGAGCCCACAACCTGGGCATGTGTCCCTGATCAGAATCGAACCCATGAGTCTTCACTCCTCAGGACGATGCTCTATCCACTGAGCCAAAGTGGCCAGGGCAATAAAAAAATACTTTTAAAAAAGAAAAAGAAAAGAAGCCTGAAAAAGAGAAACCTATACCACCTGGAAGTCGGCCTACATTCCATAATAAAACCCTTCTGCTCAAGTACACAACTCCCCATTACCATTAGTAAAGTAAATATTACCATTCTCAAGTTACCAAAAACCAGGACACGGCCAGCCTCCCGGACTCTACCCCACCACCGGCTGCCTGCGTGTGGCCTTGCACGCTGGGACACTGCTCCAGCCTCTAGCCTCCACACCTAAGCGCATTTCCGTAAAACTACTCCTGACGCCAGCAACTCCTTCCTTCCAGCATCCCATCCCATTCTCCTTACCCCGCCCCAAAGCTTCTCCTCTCCAGCTCCGCCTCTCCAGCTGGTCTGTCTACTCAGTTACTTATTTGCCTGAGGCAGATTTTCCTCACCTTTAAATTCCTCCACATTGAGAAATTCTGGACTTCCTCTGCTGTTTTATTTTATTTATTTATTTATTTATTTATTTATTTATTTATTTAGTGTGTGTGTGTGTGTGTGTGTGTCTCCCCTCCCCTCTTCAAGGTACTTCCTTTTTCTCCTTTCTTCCTCCCTTCCTCCCATCCTCCCTCCCTTCTTCCCCTCTTTCTCAAAAGCCTTCATTATACCTGCTTGCTTGTTTCCTTCTTTTCTTTTCTTTTCTTTTTTTTTTTTTAATATTTATTAAGCTCTTTAACAATGTGCACACAGGTTTTGGAAAAGGTAGTGTTTTATATTTAGATATCTTTAATTTGTATTTTTTATGCTGACTTTAAAACTGTCATCTCTTTTTAAAAAGTTTATAACTTGTATATAGTAAACCAGAAAATGTTTACTGACCCTGTATTGTCAAACATCTCAAAAATGAGGAAGAAGAAATACAACATGGGAATATTTTAGGCAACACGCCCCCAAAATTCAGCAAAGTAAAATCAATAAGGTAATTTTAAAATTTGATTCTCCAATTAAATTAGCTCCATTTATTTATACCATTCTCAAAAGATTTCCGACATATACTCTAGATAGCTCTTAGTGCTTCACCTGTCATTAGTAAAACCCTAAAGTCCAGACTTGCATGCACTACAGCATGTAGCTGGTATCTTTTCTGGGAGCAAATTCAGTAATAGAGTATCTAACTGCCACACATGTTAAAACTTCTCTTTTCTTTCTTTCCTCAGTCACAGAGTCCTGGCTTTGTGCGGCTTTGTTGTCTGCCGTGAATCACTGATTGGACAAATGCCAGCAGGTCCTTAAAATCCCCAGGGATGGGCCGGTGGCATTTTCCCGCACACCCGGAGACTGCTCCTAATTGCATCAGGGCTCACGTACCCGCATGGAAAATACTTGTGTCCTGTCAAGCGTGGGGTTAATTGGTTTCAGGTTACATCTCCGGGGGGCAGAGTCCTCATGCACTTGCAGCCCCGGGTACAAGTGCCCCAACCAACTGGACTCCAGGAGGAGGGGCAACTCCTTCTACCTCACCCTTTCATACGCCGCTCCGTCTCCCGTCAGAGCGAACGGAGGAAATCTCAGATGACACGTTTTCAAGCTCAATTAATTGTTCATTAGTATCTAGGAGTGGCAGATAGATGGTGCTTCCCCTTTCATGGCAGGTCAAAGATGAAATTTGATTATGCTTTGAAGGATGTGGCTTGCCGCTTGACATTCCTTGCTGTGTCTTTATCAGTGTTGCGTTGCCCAGAGCAGCCTCCGTGCCGGTATTTAACCAAGGGAGGCACCCTTGTCTGCCTCTAGAGACTGGAGCTGGCGCTGCAGGGAGTCACACCCGCTCTGCACGATGAAGAAGCAGCGTAAGACGGAGGCAGCACCGACCTGTGAGCTAAGTAAGTAACTCCACAGCCGGGGACGTTGCCCAGCGGAGCCCACCTAGAAGGGCACGAGGATGGCTACAGCCATGTCGTTTTTCTAGTTGCAGCAGAGACTCCCAAAGGAAAGGCTCTGGTCTGGAGAGTCCCCAGGTGTGCTACAGAGAGATCCTCAGGACTAACTTGTGCATTTTCTTTCCTCTCCAGGAGAAAATCTGTGTGCAAACCAGCCTGTACCAGATAACTGACGATGCTCAGCCCAGTTTTCGGTCCCCGCGTTTTCTGCTTTGTACTTTATTTGGATTTTTCTTTGTCCACTCATCCTCCTCCTTCTCTCCTGTTGGACTCGACTTTTACAACTAGTAACATTTTCTCCCAGCAGTTGTAATGGGAGGGATTTTTGCTTTACCTCTCTAGGCTTATGAGTTGGTTAAATGAGCTTGGTTATCTTTGATATAAAAGGGAGGGGAGGGTGTCTACAAATGTTTCTATAGCTCTGAACGAGGAGAAAATTACTAGGGTGGTTTGTCAGACCATTGTTTTCTCCCCTCTGTTGCACCACTGGTCTGACTGCCATCTTCCAAGAAAGACTATAGAGTGAGGGTTCAGGCTGTGGGGCTGGAGTGGGGTCACTTTGGGGTAGGTGGAGATAAATCTCGGGGCAAGAAGCGAGGCAGACGGGTAGAATGGAGAGAAAGGATTCATTACCAAGGCTGGCGAGTAAGGCACCTGTGATGCGGTCGAACTGGTTGCACTGGCTGATGTTTCGCAGTTCCTCTCAGGTGTGAGGTGCTCTTGATAGGGCACAGATACTATGATGAGGCTCTGGGGGCGAGAGGACATGGTCTTTGCAGGTGGCTATACTTTATAGGGTGGAGCTGCACTTTGTAGGGCGGAGCTGTACTTTAGAAGGCGCGCCAGGTCTCCAGAAGAAACTGGCTGGTTGTCAGTAGCTAATATGAGGCCACAGCGGACTATTGCACAAAACTTACCTGTCTGCTGGGTGGGAGCCTCCAAACGCACCCTCTGGGGGCTGGACAGCTCTGGGGCGCAGCTCCGCCCCCACCGCTTGGGCCCCGCTCCCACCGCTTGGGCCCCGCCCCCACCGCTTGGGCTCCGCCCCCAGCCTGACCTCGGGGTGGGCGGGGCCTCGGGACCCGCAGTCCCGTTGCCACGCGCGCACGCCGCTACCGGGAAGACGGAGAGTCCAGCCAATGGGAATGTGCGGCTGACACCCCGTCGGCCAATGGCGGGGCGTGTAGCAGTCGGGCTGCCTGGCGCTGGTTCCAGGACTATGGAGCCCCGGGCGCGGGGACGGCTTGTCAGGTGGCCGCGGAGCTGGTAAGGCGAAGGGCAGGCGAGGTCAGGGGTCAAGCGGGCGCTCCGTGAGCCCCCGACGGGCCGGGCCCGGAGGGCGGGCGGCTCCGGGGCCCGCCGGGGGGAAGGCGCGGGGGCCAGTGCGGGGCCGCGAGGGCGGTGCGCGCCGCGGGGCCTGAGGCGCGGGGTCCAGACGGAGTCGCGGGGTTCCGAGGGAGAAGAGGGCGCCGGGGGTGGGGTTCGGGGAGGGCGGGAGCGAATACCCGGTTCCCGGGGCCTCGCCCCTCCTTGCCGCCCACGGCCCGGGAGGAACGGGCGAGCCCCGGGCGGGACCTGCCCCCGCGCTGGCGCCCGCGGTGGAGGGTGCGGGGAGCCGCTCCAGGCCGCGGAGCAGGCCGCCGGGCCCCGGGGGGGGGGGGGGGCCGCGGGGCGAGGAGGCTCCCTACCTCCAGAGCCGGGGTCCCGCTTCCCCCCGGGCTCCCCGCTTCCTCCCGGGCTCCCCGCTTCCTCCCGGGCTTCCCGCTTCCACACCAGTTCGTTTTGTGCGACCTACAAAGAGCGCCCTCCTGGGCGGGCCTGGCCAGGCCACTGCGCCCTGGCATGGACGGGCTGTCGGTGCCATTATTTTTTATTTATTTATTTTTTAAATTATTGATTTTTTTTACAGAGAGGAAGGGGGAGAAATAGTGAGCCAGAAACATCGATCAGCTGCCTCCTGCACACCCCCCACCGGGGATGCGCCCGCAACCAAGGCACATGCTCTTGCCCGGAATCGAACCCGGGACCTTTCAGTCCGCAGGCAGACGCTCTATCCACTGAGCCAAACCGGTCTCGGCAGTGGGTGCCATTATTGCCGTCCCGCTGTTGGGCTTCTCAGGAACCCGATTTCAAAGCTGACGCCCACTTTCTGTTCTGTCGCCTTTGGGTTGCCCTTCCCTTCTGGTTTCCCCAAGTCCCTGCCTCCTCCATCGGACACCCTGTGTGTCCAGGAGCATCGCCGGGGAAGGTTGAGGACCGGGCTGGAGTGTTGTGCGCGTGAAAAGATGATACTCAGAGGAGGGGTAGGGAATGGAAGGAACGCGGCCTCTCTGCAGGGTGGAAGGAAAGCAGCGGATCCTAAAGGAGGGCCCCGGGGCCGAGGCCTCCGCGGGTGCAGTGAGCGCGGGTGAGGCCGGTCCGCTGCGGGCCCCTGACTCCCGTGGAATCTGAAGCCCTGCCATCGCCTGTCTAAGGCGTCAGTTGCTTAGCTTCTTTGTTCTTGTTTCCGCATACTTAGGTGGGGGTGGATCGGGTCGGTTTGGTGGAGGTGTTGGTGAGGACTAAACGAGTTAATGCACACGAAGTGCTTAGAACTGTTTCTGGCACGTGGGAGTGTTGTTGTTTGTTTTTGTAAGAGAACTTTTATTGGATAAGTTACAGAGAAAGAAAAAGCAGTTCCTAGAAGAAACGGGGTTAGGAAACAAGTTCTAAAGGTAAAGGGAGGGCCCTTAGAGTTTAGGAGGTAATGGTCACACATCTGGGGATGGGGGGTGGGGGAGAGGAAAAGGGAAAGGACAGTGTGCTCCTGGAAGGGAGGCCTGGTTTTGTGTTTTTGTTTTGTTTTTACTATTCCCCACATGTGCCTTCTTTCCCCTTAAAAAGTCCAAACTTAACAGATCTGACCTCATTACTTAACCTTTGCTCCGAACCCTGTTAGCCTGTTGCCATTTCTGTCGATCTGAGTATACAGTATAAATTACCGGTTAACTAGAGGCTTTCTGCCAGGTGTTTATCTTACCATTAACTAAGGTTAGAAGCTATCACTAGACTAGGTCTGTGTGTGATAAGCTGCGTTGGGTAAATGAAACCTGAGACATTATTTGGCCGTACAGTTTTTCATTGAATAGCATTGCATTAGGAGAGGTTCCATAGTGTCGTCGTTAGCACTCTGGACTCTGAATGGCATTGCATTGACAGCCGTGGGGCCTTGGCACGGTTTGTTTTGGATCCAATACCAAAAAGGCCAGGGTTGCAGCATAACCCGATTCCTCATGTTTCTGGCATGGCCAAGTCGGGACTGGGGAGGGGAATTTCTGGGCAGCCTGGCAGCACTTCTCATTAATGAACAGGGAAGTGTGGTGTGAATCTAATGTTATTCCGCGGTCAGGAAATCAGCAGTGCCCCTTGGATTACTCTGAGCTACTAAGCGGCTTTGGTTTAGTTTTAACTCAGTGACATGAAAGTGAGAGGTTGCAGGGGTCCTCAAACTTTTTTTTTTTTTTTTTTTTTTTTTAAACATATTTTATTGATTTTGTACAGAGAGGAAGGGAGAGAGATAGAGAGTTAGAAACATCGATGAGAGAGAGAGTCATCGATCAGCTGCCTCTTGCACACCCCCTACTGGGGATATGCCCGCAACCAAGGTACATGCCCTTGACCGGAATCGAACCCGGGACCTTTCAGTCCCCAAGCCGACGCTCTATCCATTGAGCCAAACCGGTCTCGGCGGTCCTCAAACTTTTTAAAGTGGGGGCCAGATCACGGTCCCTCAGAGAGCTGGAGGGCCGGACTATATGAACTACTAATTCCTACTGTAACACCTTGGCTGCGCTCACTGCCCAAAAAACCTGGCGGGCCGCATGTGGCCCATGGGCCGTAGTTTGAAGACCCCTGGTAGAGAATAGTATCCACAAAGCAATAGGTTTTCTGTTGGACTTGTAGTGCTATGAGTTTGTGTGGGTGCTGTGCAATCAAAGACATCTTTATTTTCTGTCTCCTCGCCACGTTCCTAAATACAAATGTGAGATGACAGGGTTATGCCTTTTCTATGAGCTTCCAGTCCCTCTCAAATTCTCTTTGTGAGGCTCTAATGCACATGTGTCAAACACAAGGCCCGCGGGCCAAATCCGTCCCGCCAGGCCTTGCAACGTGGCCCGCACCGCGCTGTCATCACTGCACTCCGCTGCGTTTCCATCACAATGACAGTTTATGACTGTTCAGTAAACCATTCGGCCCGCGATTTAGGCTGGATTTTAGATTTTGGCCCCTTCTCTGATTGAGTTCGACACCCCTACTCTAATGGAAGGTTGTCTTGTCTTCCAATTCTTCTCTTCTAGGAAGCTGTTGTTTATGCATGTAGCCTTACTGGAAACTAGTGCAAAATGAGAAACTTTGAATTTACAGAAAAGAACATCACTTACTCCAGCGGTATGCTGGCCTGGTTTGGCTAAAATGCAGGTGTGATAAGTTTAGTTAGTTAGCTTTGCAATACTAAACTTAGACAGTTTAGTGATCCTTAGGGTTGAATGTTCGATGTTGGAGGAGTGAGAGTGGACGACATTGACATTGTCTTTGTAAAATCCCTTCATTTGTACTTGAATAAAGAGGAAAAGGAGTAACATCTTTAAAGAGCTGAGTGTTTGAGGTTGAAAGGGGAGCCTTTTGCCTCAATATTGTCATCTTTATTATCTGAGTCTCTGTGGTTTGAATAAAATATTTTGGAAAAGAAGGCTGGTAGCATTTGAATGTGTAGAATATAAGGAGTTAGAAGACCTAGACCCTTGCTTCACTCATTGTATGCCGTTTATTTTTAAAATAATTTACCCCACATATTTAGAACAATTAACAGTTATTGATCCTTGGAGACAAAAAAAAAAGAGCCCTTACAGGTACCATCAGGAATATCGTTGGTAAAATAAAACAATATATGTGTATATAGGCTA